TATTGTGATGTTGAAAGGTTTGCCTTGGATTCGTATTGACATCAATCTATCATTTTTGAGATTGTATCCCATTACAGCTTTTCCCACTCTTTTGTTGACTATGAAGGCTACTCCATTCCTTCTACGGGATTCTTGCCTACAATAGTAGATATGATAATCATCAGAGCTGAATTCGCCCATTCTTGTCCATTTTAGTTCACTGATGCCCAGGATGTCGATGTTTATTCTTGCCATCTCCTGTTTGACCACCTCCAGCTTCCCAAGGTTCATAGATCTTACATTCCAGGTTCCTATGCAGTATTTTTCTTTGCAGCAATGGACTTTCCTTTCACTTCCAGGCACGTCCACAGCTGAGCGTCCTTTCGGCTTTGGCACAACCACTTCATTAGCTCTGGAGCTACTTGTACTTGACCTCCGCTCCTACTATCATAATAAACTTTCAAAAGTGTTATGGAAGCCTAATTCTTATTTAGGATGGTAAATGATTGGATGAACCACTCCAGATTATTCATAAGGAGTCACATGATGGAAATTATTTATATTAGTTCATTTAGACCTTTCTTACATTGTGGAACTTAAAAGCACAGGGAAACCAAAAGCACAGGGATAGGATGCAAAGGGAAACTTAATGTTGAGAAAAGTTCTTAGCCTTTCCCCTCCTGTATTCCATATGCAGAATACATTTCTTTTGCATAAAATATTAGATCATGTAAGTAATCACTTGTGTTCTGAGAATATGTGGCCCCATCACTTTTCAGTCTTAGCAACAATATCTTATGTAGACTATAGATGCAAAGGGAACAAATAATTATTTGTGCATTATGCTGTGATAGAATTCTTGACAAAGAACCTTCTCTGACTTTGGCCAACACCCTTAACATGACTGTTTGATTTGCAGGAGACATTGTGGACAGTTCAGCAGAGGCTCCTTGTTCCTTGAAATCACGTACACACTCGATGTCCACAGGTAGTAGTATTTGAGACTGGAGAGTTCAGTTCTTTGGTGCTTTTCACTTTCACCTTTGGGTAGAACCAGTCTCTCTTCAGTTATTCTCAGACTTGGTACAGCAACATGTCCACAAAACTTTGGGCCAAACTAGCTGTAGGCCAACAGAGGATTTTCCCCACAATACAAATATTGGCCTCAAAAAGCAACTGAAGTTCAGAGCATAGCAAGGCAAGGAAGGATTAAACCTGTCCCAACTCCACTTGCTGCATTTCCAAAATGGCCTGTGTTTAATGTCTAGCATAACTTTCAGTTTCACATGCCACAAGCCTGAGGTCACAGGACAATCTGCTTACTGGACAATCTGGGATGGGAACAATATAATACACTGGGATGGGGGCTGTATTTTTCCAATGTAGGTTGAGCAAAGGTCATGCTGCTTCATCTCATAATTTATCAAGGAAGCAGTTTCTGCGAATTATATACATGGAAGAGAGCACAGATGGGCTATATATAACTAAAAATGGTAACTGAAGTTATAAACTAAGTTTTCTTTCTGACTCCCGTTGTGTGATATGAATAAAAGGCACCTAGGATGTCCTTTGTGGGTTATGCCAGTGTAGTTAGTCCTGAAGTTGTTTGGCAGAGATCCAGCGTGGTGTAAGGGCTGAAGCATCAAACTGAAACCAGGAAGTAAGTTATGAGGCTCTGTGGATGGACATTAGGCCAGTTTCTATATCTCAGATTAGCCTACCACACAGGTTTGCTGTTAAAACTGTTCAGCAAGTGGAAATGACAGCAGAGAGATAGCAATAGGGATTCCTGTCTGGGCAGTTGGCCTTTCAGTTGAGAGGAGGAGGAAATCCTTGCTGTTAATCTCTAACCACAGATAGAGGGAGGAATATGTGGTCCTTACTGGCATCCTCAAGGGTCAGAGTTTCCCATCTTCCCTATAGAATCTGCAGTTAAATTCTTCTTTGGAGATGTAATTATCTAGTGATGAGAGATGATAGAGCACTTGTTGTGGACGAAACCATAGCAAGAAGTAATAATAAATGGCACTCTTTCATAGATCCTTCTGTGCGAATCAATCCCACGGATATTGCTGGCAGAACAGATGCAGAACCAAGTGGAAGATCGAGTGAGGGGAGGCTTTCCTGGAAAGCTCTTGGGAGGCAACTGAATGTAGAGCTGAAGGGCAAGTGTTCAGAGCTCAGCTATTCTCCAAGAAGAGCTTTTGCTGCTCAGGAGACAGCCAGCCATACAGAGCAGAAAGAAAGAGAAAGCTGGAGCAGCAGTTTGCCCAGAACTGGGAGAAGCACACCACTTCTGAGGAGGACCAGCATTGCTGGAGAGGGACAGTCATGTGCTGGACAACAGAACTTGCATGGTGATGTAAACACAATTGCTGAAGGTATGTTACATAGATGCTGGTGCTAGGGCATGCACACTGAAACAGTAATCCTCACAATGGGGTTACATCAACCTTTTTAATATCTGTAGTTTTCTCTTATGTCCCAGTTTACTTAAGAAGCCTAGTTATTTTCTGACTGCCCCTAGAATTCCCTCTACATGCCAAGTAACTGCATCCATTTCTTTTTAGACAATCAACTCAAAGCCAAACCTCATCTGAAGCCTGTGGCAAACCGAAGGGCCATGTCTGTTCATGAAGAACAGCTCAGGGACCAGGCCTGTGTGGCAGAGCTGCAGCGTAAGTAAAGATGGAATAAATAATGGTCATATTATATTCTCAAATGGTCATATTAGTGGGGGCAAGAAACCATTAGCTTTCCAGATGTTGCTGAACTTCTGATATCCTTCACCATTGGCACAGCTCGGGGGACTTGATGGGAAATGGAAACCAGCAACATCTAGAGGGCAACACATTCCTGGTCTAAATGAATGCTTCTACGACAAATCTTGCATGTGGGGAAAACACTCCCTTCTTATTTCCAGGGAATTTGCTTCTCCAGTAATCATTTTAGATTTTGTTGAATTATCAGCTTGCCAGAATTTTAGATTAGTGCTTTTTTACCTTTCGCTAAAGTACACATTCTCTATGAGATCAACCATCATATTGATCTGTTCAGTAATGAAAGTAGCTCCTAAGAGGTTTAAGAAAAAGTGTTTTGGAGTATGTTCTGAGAATGCTTTTAACTGATAAGTATCAAGTCCTCTGGTCTGCCTCTCTAAACTACTCTACTGAAATCTAAGAACATGAGACAGGGCTCCTGTTGCGGGAGGGGTATTCTGTAAATGCTCAGAGTTCTTTTATAGATCAGTATATTGTATGAAAATAAGACATGGACAAAGTTGGAAAACTAATGCTAATGGGGGGATTGGGAAAAACTGAAAGGCCAAGAATAAAAGTACTTATTTAAAAGAATTTTCCTACTTAAGACATTAGCTTGGCTCTGCTTACCATTCTTCCTGACGGCTATTATAATGACGCTCAGACTGGGCATGTTCAATATACATTTGAACCCAAAAGAAAGAAGTTGCCAAAGATTGCAGCTAACTCTGTGACTGCTCTGTCTCTTTATCTGCTCAGTTTGTATATACAGCATACAATATGGAAAGCTAATTCAGATTCAGTTGTGAGAGCGAAAATTGGAGGAAGAGATGTAGAAAACAGTAATGGTGTCATTTAAAAGGAAGTGCAAACAGAACTGCACCTAAATATTAAGACAACAAAATTAATGACTATGTAAGAATTACATAAATTTACTGCAGATGAAAAAGAAATTGAAATGGTTAAAGATTTTCTGTACCTTGGTTCAACCATTAACCAAAATGGAACTGCACTCAAAAATCAAAAGGAGATTGATTCTAGAAAGGACAGCCATGAAGGATTTTTTTTAAAAGGATCTTGAAGAGCAAGAATGTTTCCCTGGAGATAAAGGTCAAGATCATAGCATTCTCAAATAATATATATGGCACAAAGTTGGACAATGAACCTAACAGGAAAAAAATCAATTAATTTGAGATCTGGTGCTGGAGCAGAGCTTTACAGATACAATAGACCACCAGAAAGAGAAATAAGTAGGTTCTAGACCAAATCAAGCTTGAGCTCTCACTAGAAGCTCAAATGACTAAACTAAGTCAAATTTGGGGCATATTATGAAACAGTAAAATTAACTGGACATAGACAATAATGTAAGGAAAAGCTAATGCTCTTGAAAACTGGCGATGGACCCACTCAGTAAAGAAGTCAAGTCCCTTAATATGTTAATACAGGACATTTTGGAGTTCACTAGTTTATAGGGTCACTAGAAACCAGTGATCTCCATGACCGGATGACATGTAACAGAATACAGTATATTATTAGCATGACCATTAGCTTCACTTGCCATTTCTTCATAAGAAGTGTGTGGGAGGATACAAGGCACATTGAAGAATGTTAAAATAGGTAAAATAAAAAGAAAATATAAGATAACTCCACAGTTTAACCCAGTCATTTTTAACCCTTTTTAGATACAGCCCCCAGGAGCTCTTCTTAGGTTCCAAGGTACCCCTGTCAAACAAGAATACAACATTAACAGATAAACATAAAATTATTTATTATTGTACATCAAGAAAACAGATCTGAAAGAGGAATTTTCCACATTGATATGGGACCATTTTCAGACTGAAGAAGAATTATTGGATTGTGATCAAATCTATAGAATTAACTTCAAATTTGCAACAAGGAACAAAGTCCCAACATATGTTCTAGTCAAGTTTATACACAAGAAAACTAGAAACATACTGAGTAAATAAATAATTAACCCACTGGAAGTAAATGGGACGGAAGTACAGATTTTTCAATCTCTTCCATCAGATGTATTGAAGAAAAGAAAAGACTTTGACTTTTTCACTCAAGAACTTAGAAAACAAAAAATAAGGTACTGTTGGAAAATTCCCTTTGCATTCAAAGTGACACTACCAAAAAGGAAATGTATTATATTCAACCTAGAAAAAGTTAAACAATCATTTGAAGACATTCTAAAGAGAGACAACTCAGAGACATCGCAAGATTTAGTAGGATTAGATAATTCACCATCTAGAAAATCATTTAACAGAGACACTTCAAGTGAAATACAAAATTTTGATGCAGGGAAAAAATGTAAAAATAATAGCAAACTAAAATAAGTGGCAGTATTTTAACAAGATGGAGGTTCTAAGTACTGTATCAGCTAACATCAATGGTCAAATTCCATCACAAAATGTTCAAGAACTTTTAATCAACTAAGGAAATTAAAAGCAGATATAATATATGTCCAAGAAAAGTACATAAAGAAAGAACAGGAACATATTTTAAATTCAAAAAAATTCGGAAAAGCATACCTGACATCAGCTAGAAAGAAGAAAAAATGTCTTGTGATATACATTAAAGTATCAATATGATAGAAGAATACAAAGATCCAGAGGGAAGATTGATTATGCTAAAGATCAGATTCTCTGATGGGGAAAGCAACACAATAATATCGCTGTACGCCCCAAACAATGCTGAAGAAAAATTTTGCTTTTAGATTTTCAAGAAGGTGCGATTATGATATTTGGAGATATGAATGGAGTAATGGACCCCAAGAAAGAAAAATCTAAGAAAACAAAAGGAGGTAAACTCCCTCAGAATGTATTCAAATATATGGGACTACTGCAGTAGACAGATGGATGGATGGATGGATGGATGGATGGATGGATGGATGGATGGATGGATGGATGGATGGATGGATGGATGGATGGATGGAGAAAGACTACACCTTATTTTCAGACAGACATCAAACATACTGTTGGACTGACATGTGTTGGTTATCGTGAACTAGTATTAAGAACTTAGAAAAAGCTGAAATATTACCAAAAATAATGGGAGACCATAAGCCCTTGAAGAAGACTTAGAATAAGGAAGGAATTGTGAGAAGATGGAGGCTAAATGATAACTTGTTGATACAAGAGGATTTTCTTTTAAAATGCAAAAAAAAATCTGAAAGAATTCTTTAAAATAAATTGGACAGAAGAACTCCCCATTGCAACTATATAGGAAACAAGTAAAGCATTTATTAGAGGAAATCTTATCTCAACTGCATCAAAAAGAAAAGAGAAAAAGGAAAACAAAGAAGGAAAGTAACAGATAAAATTCAATCCTTAAAAAAATGTGGTAACAAACAAACGAGAGAAATTAAGAAATTTAAAGCTCAACTAGACCTATTACACACTGAAGAGCTGCAGAAGAAATTTTACTTAAGAAGAAATATATCGAACATGCAAACAAACCAATCAGATTTTTGGCACACTGTTTAAGACAGGATGTGGAGGAAAAAAATGATAACAGGAGTGAAAACAGCAAATCTTTCTGTATACATGGAAAAAGAAATACAAGAACAATTTGTCTCTTATTTCACACAATTATATAAGAAGGAAAAGTCAGCAGAAGAAGGGATTGAAGAATATGTAAAGAATACAAATACTGCATTTTTTTCACCCGAGAACAAACCTTAAATCATAAGGTAACAGTCCAAGAAATATCCCAAGCAATAAGAAATCTGAAAATAGATAAAGCAACAGGATGCCTAGAGGATGAACTTATTACACCACTGCAGAATGAATGAATGAAATAAATGAAACAAAAGAACTTCCACCTTCAGGGCAAGAAGCATGACATGACATTAATCTTCAAATAAAGTAATGATGCACTAGAACCACAGACATACAAATCAATCTCCCTACTAAATGTGTGTTATAAAATGTTTGCCTTGATAATAGTAAACAGACTTAAGAAGTGTATTACAAAAACAATACACCCTGATCTGACTGGATGTGTCCCTAAAACATTTATGTGACACAATGTAAGATTTGTAATAGATCCAATGGCATGTGTAGAAAAACAACAACATAAAACAGAATTTATGTTTTTAGATGTAGAAAAGGCATTTGATAATATTTCATGGAGTTTTGCAGCATTTGAATCGTGGTAGTTAGAAAACTGAAGTCAAGGAATTTATAAGAAACAAAATGTAAATATATTAATAAATTGGATTTTAACTGATGGTTTTATTATTGAGAAGGGAACCAGACAATCCAGTCCACTGTCACCACTATTGTTTATTTTAGCCATGGAAATCTTTGCAACCAAGATTAGACAAGACAGCCAAATTAAAGGATTAAATACAGACAGAGAGGAGTTTAAGCTAAGAAATTATGCAGATTATGTTGTTTTAACTATCTCCAATTCATTATATTCAATAGAACGGGTAATGGGACAAATAGCAAAGTTTTGACTCCACTCAGGCTTTAACATTAATAGGAAAATAAACCAAAAATTTCTAACAAAATGAGATAATATTACAAAAATTTTGGGATGTAAAGTCATGGATAAACAAACAAAGTATCTAGGTATTTATTTAACAGGAAACAATAAAGCACAGTATAAGGATTTACATACATACATACATACATACATACATACATACATACATACATACATACATACATACATACATACATACATACATACATACATACATAG